ACACTTCTATTACTAATGAAGAACTTCTTCAAATCCTCTTACAACTACCTAATAACAAAGTTTGTAGTCCTACAGGCATTAGCTATAAAATACTCAAACATATTAGTCCCCAATGCATTTCTGCTATTATTGCTCTTTTAACTATTGTCTTCTTGACAACAGAATTCCTAAACAATTGGAAACATAGTAGAATTTATCCTATTCCTAAACACAACACCTTTAATGATAACCTTAATCTTATATAATCTATTAGTTTCATTAAACATATTTGCAAACTTTACACAAAAATTCTTACAAACTGACTTAGTTCTATATTTTTCTCAAATCCTATTCTCTTACTTTTTAACTATGTCATACTTTTCAATAATAGTACTTCAATTCCTATTCATATTCTTAATAATTTTATTGAAGATACTATTTGTAAGCACAAAGACATTTGGTTACTCTCACAAGATATGAGCAAAGCATATGATTCTATAAACTTTGCTATTTTTAAACATTCACTTTTTCACCTCTTACTTCCTTTATCTATCATTAACATTCTTACTGATCTTTTTACTAATCATCACAACCAAGTTATTATCAATCTTGGTCTTATTTTCTCTTATCTAGTTCATAATAGTATTGACTAAGGTAAAACAATTACATCTTTATTATGGTATATTTACTATGATTCACTTATTTCATACATATACTCAAAAGTTTCTGGATATACTTTACAATCTACTTAGACCACCAACTTCAAACTTCAAACCACTAATTTGTTACAAAAACAATAGTCTGTCCTAGCATATATGGATGATACTCTCTGAATTGCTTTTTCACAAACTAAGTTATCTTATATACTATCTATAGCTGAATCATTTTATGCTAGAGCAAACATTCAAGTTAATCCTTCAAAATCTATTTTGGTTACTAATAACCCTTCATCCTACTACACTTCTATCTCTTATAATAACTATCTATTTCCACTTCATTCTTTCAAATAATCCTTTAAATTTTTAGGTTGCTGGTTTATCTTAGATAACAAACAATCTAAACAAACAAAATTAATTATCTCAGAATCCTCTCAATTTATTTAAATTACAAAAACAAGTATATAACTGATTCATATGCTTACTACATTATCAATACAGTTATTATTCCTACTATTGAATACTGCCTACATAATATTGTTATCAACCAATCCACTTGTAACAAAATTTTTACTCAACACATTGGTCTTGTTAAGCTCAAAGCTAAACTTTGCTGTACAATATTATTCAGTACTCTATTACATCTTTATATCTACAACATTAAACATATCTGGAATATCCAACTACAACACCATATTCCCAATTTTCTTAAACAACTTAATAATCCTGATCTACTAGATACATCTACTCATATATATATTCAACATTTCAAAACAACCTTTGGTCTCTTATCAATATTTTTCTTCATTTTAAACCAATCATTGATAGACCCAATCGATTAATCACAAACTTTAAAATAATACAACTTATTAGACATATAGGCTGAATTTTTTCAACTAGCTAAATCTACAACATTCTATACACTCTAAATAATGGAACCATATCTCTTAAATCTCTTCTTTCTTTTAATCCAAAATACCTCATCTTTAAAAAACAACTCAGATACTATAAACATCTTTTTCTGAACCAACTCACTATGCATAATAACTCATATCTACTGCACTGGCAACACATTTCACCCAGACTTAATAGAATTCCAAAAGGTGTTATACCACAATGGTTTACTATCCTTAAGGACACTACTACAAGCCACTCTTACCAATGCACTCTATATGATTATTATAACCTATCTTTTACAAACTACTTTTGCTATTTTGCTAGTCACTTTGTCTCTAATACTAAACCTAGATTACTTATTGTTCTTAATAACCAAATAATTATTGACAAGGCCAGAAGGCATAATACACCTATTGGTCTTACTCTCATTAACTACTGACACTGCTCATTTCAGTTTCAGTTTTCTAATCTCTATCCTACTTCTTCTTCTACTACTACATTATGTACTGAATGCCATCTCAATTCAAACACAATTACTAACAAATGTACTATCTTTATTTCTACTAACTTGGCTACTAAGCTACTTTGCTATATCAATCCTGACAAAACTCTCAACCTTCATGCAAACTTTCTTGATATTGCATATTCTGTTGCTTTTTGATATTCTTTACATATTCCATCTTTACCTTTATTCACAATTAATCTATAACAACTACTTTCTATTTTTGAAACATGCCAATTTGTTAATAACCTTCAGACTATTACTAACTCAAATTACAATCTATCATTTATCTCATTTTATACTAATAGTTCTGTTATTAATCTTGATACTTCACAATGCTCTATAAATATAGATTGGGTTCAAGTTAATAACTCTACAACTATTAATTTATTTTAGACACAAATTAAACTGTGGCTATACTCTTTCAAAACTAAAATTTTTACTATTCTCTTAGTAATTATTGTTACTTCTAGACACTACTCTGTTCACATATTTACTAACTTACAATCAGCAATTTTCAAATATTATAATATCTGCCAATTAACATCTAATTTTTCTCATACTTATACTTTATATTTTTCTATCTGACAAACACTTATCAATTTTATTAAGGCTCATGAAATTCAACTTATTTTTCACAAAGTTACTGCACACTAAAATGATTCATTTAACAATCTTGCTAACCAACTTACTTGTAATCACCAAATATTATCTTATCTAATATTCTTAACTAATAATCCTTATAACCTCAATTATACTTCTTTTATTGATGAATTTTCTATTAAAATTTTTATTTGACACTCTATTTAAACTATATGCCAAGCCCATATTATAACACTTTGAATATCTCAACATTGTTTTTAACAATGACCTAACATTGCATCTGATATTAACTAAAAAGCTATATGACTTTATATTAATAATAATCAAAAAATCTCTTATTTTGGCTACAGTTTTTACTTATTTACTCTGAAAACTTTCTGAATTAAAATTTTTATAGATGAACTATCTGTTTCTCATATTCTTCATAAATGCAATCCTTTATTTCCTTTTTTCTGTTATTAATATAATCAAACTAGCTCTCCACTTCATTGGGTTACCTGTCCATCAACCCAAACTATCTATCACTTTATCTTTAATTTTCTTAATAGTATTTTAAATACTACTAATCTCAATATGTCTGTTAATCTTGTCTCTGATTTACATACTAAAATTCTCATTCTTGACAATTTCAAACTGCATAACTCTCTATATATACCTTCTCTTATTTCTACCCTATCTGGTTTAGTTCCTATTGATCTTATCTCTACTATTCACAATGCTTCTATTTCTTATCGTACTGTTCTACTCTTTCTATCAAACTTCTTCTTTATTTAAACCAACAAATATACAAACAAATATGGATTCCATACTGTATTTTATGCTCTGCATAATTCCAAACTACACTCTCTATTAACTCAACTCATAGTCATTCTTTTAGTTTAACTTTACCTTTCATTTTAATACTAAAATTATTATTAAAATTGATCTTTGGATTATCCAATGGATTAAATACCATACCCATCTCTTTTATATTATTACCCAAACCCAAATCTAGATGAGCTTGACCACTTTTTAAGTTTAGGTTGCAGATTATATGCTGAGTCTTTATTCTTCAAATGTAATTTAAAAGCAAGCTTTTTTTTGTAAAAACTTCAATTGAATTTTAATAAAATTAAAAGCATAGCCTCATGGTTAATATTTAAAAAAAAAAAAAAAAAAAAAAAAAAAAGATAATACTAGTATACTGCATTTTAAAAATTTATCAAGAGTTGAGTTGTAATTATTCATCTTTCTACATAAAAACAAAATTTTATGCTTGAGAATTATAAAGGTTCCTATTTTTTTAATATATAGCAGTTTGTAGAAATAAATTACTAATAACAGTAAATATTTAATAAGAAAATTTTAATATTGTATATATATATAATTATCTTAATAAATAGCAAAATTATAATTATTACAGAACAACAATTATAGTTACATTCTACTGGTTAAAAAACTTAAATTCTACCTAAAAGTATAGTAATAGGTGGATTTTTTTTTGTCAAAACATTAAATAAACTACATAATACAACAATTATTTATTTATGAAAATTAAATTTTATGTTTTTTTAAAAAGTAATTGTTTTATTTATAAATAGAACAATAGAAGCAATTCTATTGATTCTATTGCTCTATTAATTTTTTTTTTTGGTATTAAGGTGAGGCCTTGCTCATATCTTTATTAGTAATTTTAGTTGTACATATTAATATACTATATACTAAGATATACTAAGATTGTAAACTACAAAATAAAAATTACATGCAAGAATTATATCAATAGTCTTTTTATTGTCAACTTAATAGAATTTTTAATAAAATCAATAAAACCAATAGAAAATTTATTCTATTGATGGCTTAATTTTTATTTAATAAATCAATAGAATGACAACACTGGTGATCACCTAGCTGACCATGTATCCGTGGTAAAAAGCATGTAATTAATGGCATGTTCCTAACCGATTGAAAAATGAAAAATTTTACGATTTGTAACATTAAATAAAATCCCATACAATAACGCTATTTAAATATTAAAATATTAAATTGGCTTTAAGGGGATTAACCTGGCATTAAAAGAGAATGTACTATCTTTGTCTATTTTAAAATTTTTATTTTATATATCTTTGAACCTCGTTATATTATAAAAACTGTTATGAACAAAATTTCGGTTTAATTAAAATTTATAAAGAATTCTAAACATAAACCATTTATTATAGCAAGTGTGTAAATTTTTTGTGATTTTGCTGAATAAAATTTAGATCCAATTGTTATCAATTATATTCTGGTGTTGAATAAATTATTTCAATGTACAACCTCAACAAAAGTATTAATCTCTACGTCAATATCAAAAAAAATTAAGTTCTAAATTAATTATCTGATTCGACCTGGTAAAGCCTTGGATATAATCTTTCTAAAGATTGTTGTAACCCAACGTGTGGATATATATCAGGCTTCTTTGACCAAGCTTGTTGCAACGCTTGTTTATAAGAAAGCGTTGAATTATGAAAATAAATGTATGCAATTCCTATTGATCCCGAACGCCCAATTCCAGCCCGACAATGGACAAGTATTTTCCGTTTATTGTCTAATTGTTTCTGAATCCATTTCACACAAATGATAATAGCATCGTCCGGTATTCTATTATTTGCACCATCTTCCAAAGGAATTTTCAAATGTTCAATGCCCTCCAAGGTTTCTGAGGGTAGTTCCAATTCTTTTGCCACAGTCAAAACAGCTTGGAATCCCATATTTTTTGCCCTACTTGCTGCAAAATAATTTCCAACATATAAATCAGGTTCAATTTCGACAGCTCGAGGACCATGTGTCCATGGAGACTCAGGTGAGGGTGGCTTAACATTAAATGACCCATTATTTCCGTATCGACTCGCCCAATTCCAATCGTTGTTTTGACTTTTCCAACGGACTGTGTACTCGAATCTACCAGTAGCAGTTGGTAAGATAGCACCTTGAAAGTTAACAATCCAAAATTTGGTAGTCGTAAGTGCTTTTAAATCAAGAGAGCTTTTTTCATCAAAAGAGACAATATGTACACACATATCTATCTCGTGCCATTTTCCTTCAGGTGAATATTTATCAATCGAATTGGTCCAAATTTGAGCAGTTAATATGCTAGGAACTACAGAGCACAATTTACTCTGTAAATCCTGGCTTGACAAATCCAGAGGCAAAGGCAAGTTTTGTGTAATGCATTTATCTATTTTTAATGATAGAGATAATGTAAACGGCTCTAGCATGTATCGCATTAGGTTCGAACCTAACGGTGGATTGAGTTCTACAAAATTCATGGTGAAAGAATTTAAAAACTCTAGTAAATTTAGAATAAGGATAGAAAACAAATTCAATAAAATAAAAGGAACAGGATAATTGATAAAGTTTAATTGTAGTATTGTACGAGTACGTATGTAGATATAGTAACTTGAACAAAACTAATTATGGAGCTTGCCATACAAATAGATCCACAATTTTTATTTGGAAATTATATAATAATAGTAAGACTAATTTATAATTCTTAGTCCATATGATGTCAATGATTGTTTAAATTTGTCTAAATATGTTATCCTGTACTCAGAGTAATTAATCACTTTTACTGATATGTCAGTGTGCGTTTAAATATGCTAATTCATGTGAAGGACACTAACCTTCTTTTCTTATAATCACTCGAGACGGCTTAGTGAAGGGCCTTCTTTCCAAACTCAAATTTGACGAATGTTAATTTCGTCACTGATGAATATCTTGGCATTTTCCTAGTGTTGGCACAGTAAGATCAATATAGTCTCATTGATGCAAAACCTGTTTTTATTCGCTTCATTAAATAAAAACTATCGTTTGATTTGATGAATCATTTATTCGGTTATTTACAAATGTATATAGTTTACTATATCTAGCTAAACTATATTCTTTGCTTCTTTTACTATTTTACAAATATAATTTTCAAATTAATAATATTTAGGTTATAGATCTTTATATTTAAATATATTTTAAACATATTTGTATTCTAATTTGTATCTAATTTTAATAGTATATACAGTAACACCTCCACAAGTGCACGCTCATATTTAGCTTATAGATCTTTATAATCTCTTATATTTGGTATATCTGTTATGAATTTAAATATCTTGTATCCTAAATTATATCAAGTTTTATAGTATATACAGTAAAACCTCTATAAGTGAACGCTCTTGAGACCAAGCTTTAATGACGTGAACTTATAGAACAATAAGAAAAAGTGAATTTATGGAAGTCATTAGTATTGTTAGGCAAAACCTAGAGATTTATGCCAAAAAAAAAATTAAAATGGCAAAACCAGCGAAACTGGCAGAGCCTATATACTTCAATAACAATAACTGCATTATCTGCTATACTTCAGAACACTAGCTATACTGGTTACTTTGCCCCAGCTTAACAACTCTTTTCAATATTATTTTAGAGACAATTACAAATATCATTACTTGCTTTAGTTTAGACATAATGCAAACCTAACAAGAATTCCATAATTTATTAATCTAACATAGAATTAGTTTCATATTTTTTTTTTTAATATTAATGGTGAGGCCATGCCTCTATCTTTATTAGACATTTATTTGAAATTTTTACATAAAGTATAAATTTACTATTAAAAATATTATAAAAAGGGTAGAAGCTCAGATTAGTTTATTTGCGACCTAAACCAACAGGAGTGACCAAGGCTCACCTAGATTTGATTGTTAGTGATTATATATGAGAGGTTAGTTTGGTATTTAATCTATTGTATATATCAAGAGTTAATTTTAAAGCAAATTGAATTAAAAAGAAAAGATTGAGGTGAATATAAAGTGAAATTTGAGAATAAGTTGAAAATAGAAGAATGAGATGTTGATCTTGAAACACAGTAAGAAATCCAACTTTTATAATATATTTGTTGGTTAAGATGAAGTAAAAATTTAATAACAAGTGTTGTAATTAGTTTTTTGGATAATAAATTTGAGATAGTAGAGATAATTTCATGTACATTAAGTCTAATAAGGTTGAAAAGACTAATGATGTTGTAAAGAACTATCAATAAGATTGTATAACAACTAGTCAGATAAATATATTATCCAATAAAAATAAGAATTGGTTTCATAGCATTGATAACAAGTTGGTGGGTATAAGTAATAATATTTATAAAGAATGTATAAAGTAGGAAGGTCATTGAATAAAATTTTAATTCTAAAAGATTTAAGAGCAAAAGATTGAAAGCTATGTGAAAAGTTTAAGATTTTTTAATTATTGTTAATGTATAGTCAAGTGGTTTGTCAATTAATTTGGTTAAAAATTTTGTTCCATTTTTGAACCCAGTTTTGTATAGTCCATAGTGCATAAATATATATATGATAAATTGTATAAATACTGTTATAAGTAAATAATTCTAAAGGGAAGTTTTCAAGATTTAGAATATAAAATGAATTATAGATATTGTAAGATATAAAAGTTAGATATGCTAAGTTGTAATAATTTTGTACTATTGGTCAGTGAGGTAATTATATGTATTGTTTTAATGTATAATAATTTTGTAAAAAATAATTTGAATTTTGTATGAGTTAACAAAGTTAATTAGTAAGTTTTATAGTAAAAAGTATGATGTATATGTATAAAATAAGATTGTAGAAAAAGTTAAAATGTTTTAATATTTAGAAACTATAAATTAAGAATCTGTATATATGTTTATAGTACTATTTCTAGAAGCAATAATAAGAGTAAATAGAATGACAGTAAGTTTAGTCTTGAATAAATAAGGCCAGAGTTTTGTTTAAATTCGAAATGTATATAATATAGAGTTATTAGAGATTTAGGCTTATCCAATACCTATAGAACATTATAAAGTATTCAAATTAATAACAGAGCTACTATATAAAAGTAAAGTTCTAATAGATTAGCATTATAGTTAGCTATTTGTTAAAGATTATATATGAGTAAACTAGGTTCAAAAATTACAGAAATTGGTTAGTAGAAATAGTAATATTTGAAAGGTCTAGAATTTGAATAGGATGCTGAATTGCAATAAAATATATAAAATCAAGATAATTAGCATTAAAATTAAGAGTTTTGTCATAAATGTTAACTTGATCCAAAAATCAAGTTGAGAGATTGGTAAAAATAACAATTGTACATTTGTTAGCAATTGTTTGAAAGTTTAAAGAATAGCCAGAGCATATATAAGACTAAATAAATAGAAAAGGATAAATTCAAGTAAATTATAATTCAATATTACATTGCCAGTAGGTAATAAGAATGGATTCAAATGCTAAAGGTTGCCTTCTAACTTTTCTAGTAATAATTTGGTTATTAAGAATAGTAATGAGCCATGGTTTTTTATATGATAAGAAGTATCTAGTTGTATAACTGTAGTAATTTGTGTTAGATAAGTGTAAATGTTGGTAAAGTTTGTGATTGTAAGAATGGCTTGTAACTTCATTTTCTAAATAAGTAAACCAAAATAGCTGTTTGACTTTTAGGCTCTTATATATATAAAAAAAAATATGTTTCTAGTCTAATAAATATGAATTATCAAATATAATAAGTTGATCAAGATATAGAATACCATAATGTTTAAGTTGTTTTTTAAAGATTAAGTATTTTGAATATGGGAAGAACAAAGATTCTAATGAGATAAAGTCTTGTTAAATAGTATATAGAATGTTATAAATTGGATTAGAAGTAAATATAATACTAAGATGTTTAAAAAGTTAAATTATTTTGAAATTAGTAATGTTATAGAATTGTAGTCTTCTTGGTACAATACAACTAAGTAACAAGATCATCTGGTATAGTGATTGATTATTGCAAATATATATAGAATGAAGGTGTAGTAGTTCATTTTACTACACAGCAGCAGGCAAATAGTTTAAGATAATAACAGTATATAGATTAATTTTTTGTTAACAACACACATAGTAACAACCTTGCCTGTAAGAATTATCCTAGAGGGGAAATATTATACATTATAATTAAAAGGTCATTATATTTGAGTTGAAGTATAAAAACTTAAAATTGGCAGAAAAAAGAAAAAGGTACCCTTTATATATCTTTTTACCTAATAAAGGTAGTAGGTGTTTGAGTAACATCTCTTAATACAGTACTTGAAGCAGTGAGAATTGTGCAGAGGCAAGTAAAGTTTGTACAATGATAGTTAGAACAATGTTTATATGTATTTGTTATTTGTACTTAAAACACTTGAAGCTTGTGTCAAGATACTTGAGTCTGTGCAAGAACAGTTGAAATTGTGCAGAGATACTTAAGGATTCTGTTAGAAATACTTGACATTGTGCAGTAACACTTGGAAATTGTGTTGAGAATATTTGGAATTCTTGTACTATAGTATTTGGTACAGTAAATTGTACTAGAATACATGAAACTTGTGTAGGGATATTTGGGGTTTATAAGACAATAGTAATATCATAGATGTTACTCAATATCATGTGTCTGTATTATACTTTTAACAGCCAATTAAGATCCTATTATTTAATTACTATATACTATAATATAACTATACTAATAACTAATAATAAATATAATATAAAATATAATAATAAATATATAATAACTACTAATAATATAATATACTATGCTATGCTAAAAATCTACTTTGTAATAGTAGTGTGTTTGTTTAGTCTATTAATAATAGAATTATTGTATATTATGATGTTAGTAGATAACCAAAGATTATTTTGAAGTTGTTAGAGATAAATATGAGTATTAATATGAAAAAGATTAGAAGAGTTAAGTCTTTTGGTATAGTTTGCTATATGGTGTTGAAGTTAAATATCTCATATATTTTAAATATTATATAGTTGAAAATAAAGTATTGTGCTAGTAGAAATTGTACAACTGAGTTTAGCTTTGTTTTTAACAAGTCCAATATAGTTAATAAGAATTTTATTTCATATATTCTGACTAAAAACAATGTTGTGAATGCAGTATTTAATTATAGGAATAATAATTGTGTTAAATGTAAACCAGCATTCTAAAAACTTAAATAGTTCATTTGAAGAATAAAGGTTAAATAAATGATTGTTATAAGTAATAAGACTATAGTTAGTTGAAGAATTATTAGTTGTAAATATTGATTTAGTAGGATTAATTTAAATGTTAGTCATGTTATAAAAAGATTCTTCTATCAATAGGATTTGTAAAAGTTCTTGCTATAAGAAAGAAACCTATAAAGTGTCATCCATACAAGCAGGAACAAAGCAATGAGATTCAAGTTTGTTAAATGTTTAGTTTTTGAGATTGTTTAGCTAAAAAACTTTAGTGTTATATTTATTAA